AATAGTCAATCACTGTACTGGGTGACCTTGTTACTTGGTTGTATTGTACCAAGAAGGCTACAACCCTGTAACACTATTATATGAGTCATATTTGATATATTCTTTATTATTTTAAAGTTATAATATCAATAAATATAGATAATTATTGTTCAAAAATTAAAAGTATTTGGTTTTTATAATGATTATATAAAAGTTTTTTAGTAAATTCTAGCATGTACTTAAAAACTAGAATTCATAATATGTATTTAATTAGATATAATAATATCATATATATTGAAGTTTTTAAAGTTTTGTTATATATAATAATATATATTATTTATATAATAATTATAATAACAATAAATTAAAATTTATATTTTGCTTTAGAGTTGTTGAAATTTTTAGAATTATGCTTATTAAATTAGTATTATTTAAGTTATTATTTAATACTAAACATTTTTTATATAACCATCTTATAGAAAATGATTAATAAATATTAGCAAACTTATTAGTTTCAAATATATCAGAAAAAATAAATAATATATATAAAATAAAAATTATATATTTAGATATAATAAATAAAACTATAACTTATTAATAACAGGTTTGAGAAAAGTTAATATATAGATAACCCTCAGTAGAAATAAGACAAATTAATATTTTTAAAAAAAATCAATACTTTAACTTTTACAACTCATATCTTAATAAATTTTAATATTGTCTTAATAATTTAATATTCAAAAGAAAACTTAGATTGTAAGCTTTCTTTTGACTATTAAATCATTAAAATAGTTTCAAAATCCATCAAGATATAAGTTATAAAAGTTAAAATATTAATTTTTTTTAAAAATATTAATTTGCCTTATTTCTATTAATAACTACCTATATATTTGTAAAAAAATATTTATTGCATTTTTCAAAAATCTTCAAAATCTTTTATTTTATTATTCTTAACTTTTATAATTAAAAGAAATTTAATTAATGTTTTAAATAAATAAAAATTGTTATATATAAACCAATTAATAGATATAAAAAAAGAAAACTTGATTATATAAAGATAACTTAAAGATCTTTTAAGAACTATCATATAAATAAAAAATCAAATAATTTAATAAAATAGAAAAGATATTAATAAAATTTTCAAATAGAAAAATATCTTATCAATATAAGATAAATAAATATAACATACAAGTGTTAAAATTAAGTAAACAAAGATGTTAGAAGATTAAAGAAAAAAAAAAGATTATATATAAACCAAAACACAATCAACAAATTAACCAAATAATTAAGAAAAAGAAAAAAAAATTCTAACAGAACATTGAATAATATAAAAAGATGAAAAAATAATCAAAGAAATAAGTAAATGCAAAGATTGTAAGAACAAGTCAGATCAGACAACAGACAAGTGTAAGAAATAAATAAGATGAGACTATAGTATAAAAATTACAGAGATGTTAGTAGAAAAAGGCAATAACAAGATCAACGTAACACTAGAACAGATAATCTCTTCATAACATAATTTACAATAACTAGCTGAGTTTTTATAACCCGAAATTTCACATTTTTAGCTATGTTTACAATCATAACAGGTTGCTTCATAGCGCCATCGCCATTAATATAACCAAATTCCATCAAAACTTTGACCACTAGTTTTTGTTTTTTAGCCAAATGTTCCAAAGTAGAACTAGGAACATCATATAAAAAATTGAATTTTCACGACTCAAACTTGATATTATTAAAATAAAAAACCAACACTTTTTTATTTATCTTTGATAATATATACATACAGCGACTTATGTAATAAAATATACTACGAGCGTCATAAACCATGAAATCTATTACAATCTATATTACGATCATAATATATCACATTATTACAACCTATATTACGATCTATAATATACCATCATACTTATACTACGTCTATATTAATGCCTACGTCAATACTATAAAAGTTGCAACTTTTGGTAGTAAAAGTCGCAACACCATTACCTTGACATGTCTGCACTAGAGTTGCAAATGAAACTAAATAGAATAGCCAATGAGAATCTTCATGGTGAAACTTGGTGAAACTTAAAATTAATTACACCTGCAACTCGAGTTTGAACTTATGATTAAACCAAGAATGTAGTCCAAATTATTTAAAACAACCCAAATTACGTGACGATTAAGTCTTACGGTTTTGACAATAGGTATGGTGCCGGAAATCTAGAATCAACAATCATGTGATTAAAATGATATTTTTGAAATGTTATTTTATTTCGCACAAAATAATTTCGAAAAAAATAAACAGATAACTTTTGTAATTCAATACATGCAGTACAAAGTTATCGGTTTGTTATTTCTGTACGAAATAAAATAGCAACTCAAAAATATTATTTTTAGCCACGTAAACGTCGATCCTAAATTTCGACACCATATAAACTAGTAAATATCAAATAATGCTAATTGTCGCACGGTTTGGGTCGTTCCAAATAGTTTGGACTATATCTCTAATTGAGGTATGGCTTGTCTTTATTTTCGAAATGCTGCTTTTAGTCCGTGACATTAAATTCCCCCAAATGGCGCTAGGAGTTCGCGTAACTACCAGGGACATCGACGATGGGCTTGATGGAACGTGGGCGATACACGAGACTGAAGCTTACCTGCAATCAATGATTCTTGAAATGTCCAGGAATGCCTGATCAGGTGTAAGAACAAAAGAAAAAGAAAGAGAAATATATATTATGAAATTACTTAAAGTGACACTATCCTTTATTAAATATCAAGTGATGGTGAGAGTTCAGAGAACCTTGTATCAACATGAATCTTTCTGACGGCAATTCCTATCAATGATATTTAGTTTGTTTTCATCATTCTCCGCAACCATTGATTTATTGCTGCTCATTTCGGTAATAGATAAGAACATTATCCTTAACGAAACTGACCTTTACTCCAAGAATGCCATTCAATTTAGACAATCAACTTTAAGACCCGGCTAGTGCGAAATATGTCCAACAGAAGCATGAGACATGGAATCGATCAGGGCGGCCATAAAAATACGGATCGCGTGGGTAGTGCCACCTGTCGCAATTGTTAGGACGAACCAGTACTGGATTCATAGTGTTATCACTATAAAAATTTTGACACTGCATTATATTGAACCTAGGTGGCACCACTCACATGACCTATATTTCTTATGCCGTCCTGGTCGATTCATGAAACATGTAACGATTGATTTATATTCTTTACGTAGTGTGCATCCATTCCTAGATGAGTTAAGGACGTACGTAATTATTGACGAAATTTATTATAGAATAGCGTTAATCTTGGAATCCCTAGTTGACAATAGAATAATAAAGAAAAAAAATAATAATTAGTTATTTAAGCAATAAAGTAAGAATTGTATAATTCGAATTCAAAACGATCAGACATCCAAGGAATAGCCATCACTAGGTAACCCTTTTGGTGGAAACTGCGAATGAAACGGAATAAATCATCACATCAAAATCGAGAAATAAATTGAAATTCAATTTACCAATCTCCATTATGATAACTAAAATAGAATGTTTAACGTGCATTATAAAAAAGGCGCTAGGATGATAAATGAATACCTATATAATGGATGGTAAATATTAAAATTAGTATAAACAGTCATTTTATTCATTTAAATAATATTTTTTTACAGACGTCAGATAAAACTGGCTAAAGTGAATCTTTCAACTTTCACCATGGTCGATAAGACGGGGAAAGAATAACAATATCATCATTCAATAAGGAGCATAAAAAAAACTTTTTTTTGTTCTTTTACCTTTGAGATACTACGTATAGTTATAATGGCGGATGAATTTTTTTTTTCAAATTTTTTTTTTTTTCTCAAGATTTTATTATTAATCCAGCCAATAGCAGCAGGATGATCTACGTAATTACATTAATCACTGATTGGCTAAAAGCAAACTGACTGACAGAAAACATGCAATTTGCAGATCCCAACTTGTTAAATTTTGATTGGTCAGCCAAAAAAAATTTCACATTATTGAAATGTCTGTAAACGCCGTAATCGGAATGGAGCAGTGATAGAGTGTCCAGATTTGTGTAAATTAAATATGCAATACCGATACCGGTATTGAAATTTTAGTTGTGCGATATCAGTGCAATTTTAGGGGTAGGGATGTAGGCAGTTTGGGACTTAGTAGATCCGAAAGATTTTACAATTGTGTAGTAACTCAAACGGCGCAAAATAATATTTCACGTGATCACGTCATAATCTGCGCAGCGTTAAATATGTATTGAGCGATATGTATCTTTAAAAAAAAGCACAGTAAATTTATTTATATTTAAATGTTTACAAGAAAACAAATAAGAAGAGATGTTGAGTGAAGCAAAAACTATTGTGTGTACCAAAAATGCACAAAAAAAAAATAAAGAAATAAAGGAATGTGCAAAAAAAAAAAAAGAAATGACAATAAAAATGCAAAAAAAAAGAAATGCGTAAACAAAAAAATGCACAACAAAAAAGCATAAAAAAAAAAATTGTGCCAAAAAAACAAATTACAAAGCACAAAAAAAAAAAATGTAAATTTTTATCACAACAAATTTGCAGACCGGAATTCACTTTCTATGATAGTTGAAGGTTCAAAATCCATATTACCACTTCTCTGAGTTATAATTGTATGAGATATTTTTGATATTTTTTTAATATTACTTTGTTCACCAAAATTTGTATTCGATAAATTAACTATTAATTCAATTTCAAGATTTTCGTGATTTGAAAATTGAAAAGATTCTAAAATATCATTTGATTCAAAATTTTCATTATTTTTCATTGTTGCATAGATTGTTTGTGTTAATGTATTATCACAAAGTTCATTTTCTGATAATTCTTTTCCATAAAACTTAAGTTTATTTTTGAGATTGGATATGTAAAGAAAATGAATTTGAGTTATGCTTTCTAATCATTCAGGTGATTATTATGATCGGTATACATTATATAATCATCATAAAATAAAGAAATTGTATTCACAACTCTCTTATGAAGCTATTATTGCAAAAATTATTTGTACAAAATTTTGAAAATTAGAATATTTGTCTTCAATTACACTTTATCACAAACTAGATGATTTGGAAAAATTATAATCAAAGTTAAATATATAATCTTTATTGTTATAATAAATAAGTTAGTAGTTATATAGTAGCATGTAGTTTTATCATTATAAATGTTTTATTAAACTTAATAGCAATTTCATAAATTTATTGAAACATTTCTTTTTGTAAGTCAAGACCTATATATTATTACAGGATTGTAGCCTTTTTGATACAATACAACCAAGTAATAAGGTTACCCAATATAGTGATTGCTATTACAAATATATATAAAATAAAGGTGTAGTAGTTCACTTTACTACATAGCAGCAGACAAATGGTTTGAAATAATAACAGTATATAGATTAACTTCATTAAATAAACACACATAATGACAATTTTGTCTGTACGAAGTATTTTAAAGAGAGAATATCATACTTTATAATTAAAAGATCATTATGTTTGAATTGAAGTATAAAAACTTAGAATTGGCAAGAAAAGATAAAAAGTATCCTTTATATATCTTTTTATCTAGTAGGGATAGTAGAAATTTAAACAATATTAATTGATACTATAGTTAGAGTAATGGAGGTTCAAACAATATTAGATATTATTATATTTAGAATAGTAAAAGTTCGAACAATATTAAATGATATTATGCTTAAGATAGTAGAGATTGTATAAAGGCAACTGGGAATATTGTTTATATTATTTGTCATTTATGCTTAAAACACTTAGAACTTATATTTAGATATTTGAATTTATATAAAGGTACTTGGAATTTATACAAAGATACTTAAAGTTCATGTAAGGACACTTGAAGTTTATGTTAGGAATATTTGAGATTCTTGTACTATAGCACTTGGTATAGTAATTTAGTACTAGCATACATGAAACTTATATAAGATTACTTAGGATTTGTAAGATAATAGTAATATTACAGATATTATTTAGTGTTATATAGTGTTATAGGATAGATTTCTATTATTGTATTATTATTAGTTATAGTTGCTTTAATGCTTTAAAACATTTAATGTCTTAAGCTTGTGATACTAGTCACTTAGTTGCTTAATGAAACCAGTCACTTAGTTTCCTAGCGTAACTAGTCGCTTAGTCCCTTAGTGTAACTAGTTGTTTAGTCCTTTAGTGAAACTAGTTACTTAGTCCCTTAGTGAAACCAGTCACTTAGTCCCTTAGTACAACTGGTCACTTAGTCTCTTAGTCACTTAGCCACTTAATTTACAGATATATAAATCCTCTAAATTCCCCCAAGTAGAAAAGCATTCAACAAGATCTATAACTAATAGTTCTCAAGAAACAGACAATTCACCTTTTTCTTTATCCTATAATTTATATCTTGAATCCTTTAGGACAGGCACTTAAGGATCACCCTTCTTGTAATTCTTTAATAAATGACTTTAAATACAAACTACTATGTAATAATTATCGAACTGCCTCAGAGATAGGTATAGTTTCTTGACAATGTCTAACAGAAACTATACTTTCCTCTTGGACACTGCATATACCCATAAGGGATTCCCTGTGCTGTGTCATTGTTGTAGTATGGAAATAAGAAGGCTTCCACTCTATAACATTTGGTGTCTTCTGGCAGAAATACAAAATTTTCTTTGGACGAATCTAACAGATCTTCCATGATAGAAAAATGAAAAATTAGTTGATCATCATTTTTCTTTAATAACTTTATGAATTTTTATCCTATCTTCAAAATCTCACCTTTTTTAGATTCTTGAACGTTTTCTTTACATTTTTATATATAGGTTACTTAGTAACAAAATGCTTCCCTGATCTTTTATAAATTGTTAAAGTTTTAATTCCCTTCTTGTTACAAATAATTTCCTTGAAATTTTCTTTTTCTGAATATCAATACACAAACTTTGAACCTTAATATCTCATCATCTACTTGTCCGTTTTGGATGAATTCACCTTCTTTAGATTCATAGAAAGTCCTTCTATATTTTTAATCTAAATATTAAGACCTATTAACTTAGTACGAACATCTAGAAAAAGAGAAAAGAAAAAGAGAAGAGAAATTTTACAATAATGATTCTGAATACATTTCGTTTTTCTTTAATATCTTGATGAGTTTTAATCCTACAGAGATATAACACATATTAGCATACTCACAGAAGACAACTTTACAAATTTTATTATACTATATCATAATACAAAAATGCTTCCCTGAACCACAAATCACTTCCAAAGTAGTGATAGCATTTTTCTACGCCTATAAAATCCTTCTTTGAACTTAGAAGAAAGAAAAATAAGAGATTTGGGATTTCTTTAAATCACCATAGAATATTAACTACTAGACCAATTTTATTGTTTTAATTAATGTTAGAATTGTAGAAGTCTGCTCTACAACTTTAATTAAGGACCCAAGACATGGTTACTTATTGCCAACATTATATTCAGGGCATTTTTGTAAAAATGTATTCTTAGAATGATTTTCTTTTACTGTGCTATATAGACGAAAACTTTAGAATTTTTTTTTAGATCTTATGATACTACATGACTTTCAGATATCTTATTTCTTTTTGGTTCTATACTGGTTAGAAATACCAAAAGAGATGATTACTTAACCATTATATAGAAGAGATAATGACATATTGACAAGAATATTCTTTATAACTATTAGTATATTTTTATAAGATTATTTTATAAAGACAAATTTTATTTAAATTTTATTGTTTAGTTTAGTTTAGAATAAGACCTGGATGTAGGTAGTTCCCAGGCCCTTCTCCCTTTCTCTCAACAAAGGATATTTTCAAGACAATTTGTTATTTCTGAGCAAAAATGACTGATTGTATATTTTTATCCTTATAAAAATAATCCCAAAAGTTTTAATTTTATTATTCAAGCTAGGAAGATTCTATCAAGTACTCTTAAACATTAATGCTTGGAAGGTTCAACCATGTACACATTAATGAAAATATAAAATTAAATTTAGTTATTTTAAAGAAGACACAGACAATTTAGAATAGTTATCCTGGCAAAGACCCAGATGTATTGGAATAGTTATCCTGACAAAGACCCAGATGTATTGGAATAGTTATTCTGGCAGAGACCTAGATGAATTGGAATAGTTATCCTGGCATAGACCCAGATGTATATTGAGTTATCCCAGCAAAGTCTTAGATGTATAGGTCATAATTCTCCATGAACCAAGGTGTAGGTATAAGGAATTATAAAATATTATTTAGAATAATTAAAGGATATCTCAAGAGCCAAAGTGTAGGCATAGGGAACCAACTCAAAGTATAACAAGTTTATATCTTAATATCCCAAGCAAGAAACATTTATTTATTGATGAAAATTATTAATAAAAAACAAGAACCTAGGACAGAAACATTAAAATGAATATAAAAGAAGAAAATACAAAAATGATTTTTAGATGTTTTTCATTTTTTGTCAATATCTCTATGAGTTTAGATTGTAGAAAGATGAAACACATGTCATTCTACTCACAGAAACCTACTCTATATTTCTTATTATACTATATCTTAGTAGGTAAATGCTTAACTGGTCTGCAAATCAGCTCTAAAGTCATGACGACATTTTTTAACGTCTATAAAAATGATCTTCAAAGAAGTTCTAAGAAGAGAAAAGACATATTTGTATTTCTTAAAATCATAATAAAACAATATCTACTGAACCAAAGTTGAAACTTTAATAACCATTAGAACTAGAAAGATCTTCTCTACAACTTTATTTAATGACCCAAGGCATGAATACATAGTACGAAAAGGCTGCAAAAACTATCTTTTCTAGAAGTATACTTTTAAAACCAATTTTCTTTTACTGTGCCATATAGACAGAAAAATTTTGAAAATTTTTCTAATTGAATTAGACTATCTAATCTTTTAAGTTCTTATCTTTTTTAGGTTCTATAATGATCTTAGATATTAAAAGAGATTACTTTTAGATATTATATATATAACAATTATCTTATTATATCTTTTATTAATTATAGTCTTCTCTTTCTTGCAAAATAATATAAAGTGATTGCTGTATTCGTGAATAGTACTCTGGCAAGTACTAGCT